GCAATTTTTACATAGGATAGACTAGCGATACTCCTCGCCATAGGAGCGAGGGAGAAGAAAATCGCCCACGTCGGAAATCGTCAGATTTCGACTAGGAAAAGACACAGGAATTCCAATCCTGGACAAACACACTCGCTGAACCCCAAAGTCATCTCAAATGATGATAGGGATAAACCGGAATAAAAACGAAAAAAACGGATAAGGGATAATGCCCCAAAAAAATGCCAAATTCGGACCAACAAGTATGAATAAAGGGGGTGATCAACCACTGCACGTGGCTGAGGGCCACGCGAGGGATACCGCCATGAAGGGGAAACGACGCCATTCGAAAATGGCTCGAAATTAGGGGGAAAAATACCAGAAAACTCACTGTTTTTTTATGTTTAACGGTCCTTTTTCCTTTCCGGACCATCCTGGATCCTTGCAACTTCCCAATAATCACACAATAATCCAGATTACGTAGTTGCGTTGTGTGGGCACACAGAAGTTCACACGCGACTACTCATTGAGGACGGTCAACGCGGAACTGATTTCGGAGGTCAGTGCTGCGGCACACCGGGCCCTCGGGACTTCCGACCAACCACGCTGCGCTCTGATTGGTGGAGACGTTTTCTTCTCAGAGGTGTAAGCCTCGAGGGAGCCACCGAATTAATTCGGGAAAAATCAAGGGCGTAAAATTGCTAATTCACAACTACGTCAATTTTCATTAATTATTTTCGAACGGATGGAAGCTCGATCGATTCTTCAAGATTTAAGACGCATCTCACGGATCGGATCTCCGGGATTTACGAGGCAAAAATAATAATTTATTCTTAATAACCCTTATTTAATATAATTAACATTTTCTCCCCAAAACTCTAAGGCAACCCGGCAATTCACAGGGGTCAAGGGTTGCACTTGCCCCACGTGGCCTTCCACCAAAACTTTAATGAATACCCATTTTACCCCGTAATATCCACTAAATTGATGGCACGTGACCTTCCACCAAAACTTAAATGAATACCCATTTTACCCCGTAATATCTACTAAATTGATGGAGCGCTAATATTTCAATTAGGCTTATATGATTTCCGCGAGAGTTATAAAAGGGTTACTCCCATAAAAAGACCGGATGACTCTAAATATGGCCCTTCTTCTCAATCAATCTATGGGCCCTCAAAAATCAGTTATCGATCACAAAAAAAATATATCGTCCCCACCTCATTAGGGGGAAAATCTTTGACCTCAAATCTCCACCCATAGGGTGAACTCTAAACCCAAAATTCTCCATCGGAGTGGGAAATACTTGATTCAAAATCCTTCATCGAAATGGGAAAAACTAAGCTCAAAATCGTCCATCGAAATGGGAAAACTAAACTCAAAAATTCTCCATCGGAGTGGGAAAACTAAACTCAAAAATTCTCCATCGGAGTGGGAAAACTAAAATCTCTCTCTCTCACCCTAATTAATTGGTCACAGATAGACTTTTCCTGTCGTGGGTAGCTGTGTTCAGGTCTCGGTGGTGTTCCTAACGGACATCCCCACATGTTCGTTACAAAGCATCAAACATCATGTGTAATCTCTACCATGAAAGATCTGGTAATTCATATATAAAATTAAAAATCCGTGGCGGGTTCCAAAAGTACAGAGATACCACAAATCTTTCACTCCTGAGAAATTGAATCGAGAAGAGAAGAGGCCAGGCAGGTTGTGGATAGGGCGTATTATGCAAATCGTCACGGGAATTGAGCAGATCAAACACACATTTGATATTATTAAATTCGTAATCAAAACCTTACCATCTCCTGGTGAATAGTGGGTAAAAATAATATTCAATTATCGGAAATGAGGGAACTAAGTAAAATTAACGTCCACTTGTCAGTTGATTAAAATTGGGAAAATCAAAATGTCAAGGAAAGACTTCGATAGGAGTCATTTCAGATTTGACTATTCTGATTATATATTTAATCCAATGGCTCATCGCGCTCACTTTGGCCTATACGATACTTTCAATCATTTTGCTCATCCCTTCCATTTGAAACTTCTGATAATTTAACTATTCTGATCATTTCACTGGTTCCTTCCTCTCATTTTCTGAGTTTGCCTGATTTTTACAAAGAAGTATGAAACCAACTTGGGAATTTTAATGGAAAAAATCAATCTATAATTTGAAATTATTAATTTCTGAGAATCAAGGATTTGATTGACAATGTTTGCCCTCTAATTGAACCATATTGTTTGATTCATTCGATTCCTTCGAAATTTCCTGAACCTGAATTTGTTGAAAAAGAAAATTTACATAAGAATCTACTTAGCTTCGGGGTTCCATCATAATTTGCGTTCCATTCCAATAGGGGAGCGGTAAAACGATTCAAGCCAATTTTATTATTGGTCAGTTTTCAATCAATATCTCGGAATCTAACGCAGATATACTAAAGTCAGCATAACATTTTACTTCCCTGGGTACCCCCACTCCACGTAATTACCACTTGTAACTGTATTCCCCACTCCTAAAAGCGAAGGAAAAAGTTATGCTGACCCCAGCATATCCATTGTTTTCTCATAACCTTTTTTATAGAGCTAATCGAGAGTCACAAATAGTTCGTTACCAAAATTTCTTTGGAGCTTTTTGAACTCAAATTTGGTACAAATTGAAATTGGACTTGTATTTTACTTCAGTAGCATAGTAGCAAAACGGTTCAAGCCGATTTTGGAATTGATTAATTTTCAATTGATATCTCGGAATCTAATGCAGATGCCATTTTTTTTATATAACCTTTTTTATAGAGCCGATCAAGAGTTACAAAAAAGATTTTTACAAAAATTTCGCTATCTCTCTTAGATTCGAAGATATTGTCTGGAAACTCAGCTAACAACCCAGTCAACTCAAATGGTTTTAACGCTTCGCTAGCGATTTTGCCCAACACTTGCTCTCCTTCAAAAGTATGATGTACGACAATACTAGATTAGATATAATAATCAATTAACAGACCTGTAGAGATGACTAAGGGAAGGATTTCCATGAAAAAATGCAAAAACTTGACGTTTTTTTTTTTTTGAATGTGTTGCAGGAATATTCGAACTTTCTTCCTCCCAAAATGTGGGGAATTGAGGCTAGAATCTCGTCAATTTTTGTCAAAATTGTAGAAAAATCTTTACTTATGAGAATAATTTTTTAAAAGAAAGAAGCGTCGATTAAAAATATTATTTAACAATTAAAAATCAATTAAAAATTTGTTCCTTCAATTTTGATATGTTTTTGATTTTCCAGAATTTTTTCAGATTTTTAATTAGCTTTGAAGTACTAACCAAAAATCGAAAAAAAAGTTTTTAAAGGATAAAAAATCAGGGGATCGATATAATGATCTAAAATTTTACAAAGAATGGTTTTTTTGGGTGGTGATATGTGAAAAAATTGCCGCCTTGAAATTCGCTGGGGGCAGATTCACCATGCTTATCCGGCTAGACCCTTGGATCTGAACTCCGCGTTTTCGCCAAGACTTGGGCCAGGGTGGACATAAACGTAGCCGTACTTGACGTGACTTGAAGTCCCGGCCAAATGATAAATGGTCTCAGTCTTGATAAGATTTCGCTGTTTACTCAGAACCGAGTAAGAGCGGTGTAAAATATTGAAGAAAAAAAAGATAGCTTCTACTCGGAAGCAAAAAAACCCAAGGTACTTCATAATCATATCAAACGGGAGATTTCCTCCCAAGTTTGACTCTCGTGAGTTCAGTGATCCTTCAGAACCGTGTACTAAGAAGAAATCAGTAAATGTAAATGTATCGGTGATGAGAAAAAAAAATTTCTATGGCTGAAAATATATTGCTCGTCAGTTGTCTATGGGAGCTGAGTCTTCAATAATGGAAACAACTCATTTTGATTTTTTTTCCGTAATTTTTTTCCGGCAATCGAAAGTTCGATTTTCCTCCCCAAATGACAGGAGAAAAGTGGCTTATTTCATTCCTCGGATTTTTATTGTTTTAGAAGATCCTTGAAATGATAACCCACATTCCTCCCTTTCATTTACACAGAAAAATCGAACTTAACCGTGCAGTTATGATGGAAAATACCTTGTGCGCCGAGAGAGGGTAACAGGATAGCCTAACCTGCGTGTTTACCGTAATCCACACGCGTGGTTTATGGTAAATAACCATAATCCACGGTGGAGAGCGTGTAGATTACGGTTAACACGCGGGTTAGAATGTTTACGGTTAACACGCGGGTTCCTGTTTTCCTCCGTTCGTGCACAATATGCTATTTTTCACGTTTTCCTAGAAAAGGAAATTTTCGGCATTTATTGCCCATTTTCCATTCCCTGAAATACGGAAAATGATTTTTTCCGTACTGACCTTCACTTTTCCCAGTCCGAGGATTGGTATTGACCCTTCCCTGAACTGGCAAAAGTGAAAGTCACTACGGAAAAATATCGTTCGCACCTAGTGCCACTGGGGTTTTCAACGAGTGTGATTCGCACGCCTCGCCTTCGGCTCGCCAACCCCAGTTGCACTCGATGCGAAATATACTATTACGAAAAACAATGGTTGAAGTTACTGAATACCCTCAACCTCGTAGTTTTAAGAAGAAATACAGAGAAACCTCTTTCAAACTGAATAATTAGAAGCAACAACGTTTTCAGCCATCATCGCCTCACATCTCACACTATCGAGATAATTCAACATTGAACTATCTGCGAAAAAATTAATTTGCTACGTTTTTCACTTCACTATTCGATTGTTATCAACAATTCAATTTTGGAATGAAGTACGCGATCTTTATTATCCGGTTGGCAACAATACCTATACATCAACTGATGTAAATGGCACATGGAATTTTTGAACAAGTGTCAAGTCACCGCAAAATGATTGGACCTTGAATCAATTCATTTTCCATGTTATGGTGGTAATTTCATGTTATGCTAATATATTTCTGTAACGACAGTTTTTTATTGAGATGAAGATGTGAAATTACACGTTATGGGTTAATTCTGTGATTATCATGCATTGACTTTCGACTTTTAGGATCAATCATGATGATGACCAAATCCCTCTTGGCGATCCCACTGCTCTGCACATTTATTGCGTTGGCTTACGGTAAGAAAGATATCCAACATACTACAATTTATATTTGAATTATTTGCAACTACAGCTCTGATGAAAATGACAGAAAACCTGCACTATTACTAGATTTCAGGTGTAATTCTGGGCTATCTGAACGTCTTCTCCATATACTTGACTGATTTCACTCCATTTATCCCACAAATATGTATTCAAAAATCCAAAATGTCTTGCAAAATTGTTGTTTTCCACAATAAAATTCTTTTATTCATCCAGCTACTTTTAACCCTAGATTGGTCACCCTATGAGGCAAACCCTGCCGTGCGTCGTTTTTCTTTAATGAGAATTGACTGGCTAACCGGAAAAATTGAAAAAAATTTGACTTTGTCAATTGAAGTGTCTAACAAATTATAGTAGATTTTAAAATAACATTTCCCAAAATTCCTAAAGAAAACAAATTATTTTGAACAGATGAATTATTTTTTCCCGTGTTAAATAAAATCGCTCATGACGCGACATTGCCGGAAACTCGCTAAACGCGCCCGGAGAGTGTAGAGTGAATTCGACAACGCTAAAGCCTAAATAACACGGCGACGAATCCCCGCGGAGATGACCAAGTTGCAGGGTCGAGTTTAGTGACCAGACTAGGGTTAACAATATTGAATACCATCTTCCCAAATTTCCACTGAAAATGTCCAGACTGCATATTTCCTTGATTCCAGAACTCCCACTCTAGCTTAAAGGGGTCACAAAGAATCAAAAAGGATGAAATTTGTTGGAACTTTCATCTTTCCTTTATGTTAAATTCAGGTGCAGAGCAGCCGGCAAGAATAGTTTGTTACTTCAGTAATTGGGCGATTTACCGTCCTGGACTGGGCAGTTATGGAATTAAAGATGTTCGTGGAGATCTCTGTACTCACGTTATCTACTCATTCATTGGTGTGAGCAATGTCACGTGGGAGTACCTTGTACTGGATCCAGAATTGGATGTTCAGAAGGGTGGATTCAGTGAGTTCACTAATTTAAAGAAGAAATTCCCGGGATTGAAGACGGCGGTGGCTGTTGGTGGATGGGGAGAGGGTGGAAGAAAATACAGTGCACTTGTTGGTGACAAGCAGAGGAGGGATACATTCATAAAGAGTGTTGTAGGTGAGTCTTCATTTTGAATGAAAAATTTCAAACCTCATTCGTTTATATTTTGTCTAGTTAATGATTTTTTCCCTTAAAGGGAGACTACTATGAGTTTTAAAAGTCATCGGTTATTGGAGTGAGACTTTTCATACATTGAAGATCGATTATATAGATCTGACAACGAATAATTAGTGCAAAAAAAAATTTTTTTATTGTTCGTTCACCCGAAAACGCTTAAAATGCTAAAAACAGTGTGCAGAGCAGTGAGAGCCTCCAATTTTTGAGCTACAAAAGAATTTTGAAAAAAAAATTTTGCTCCACATGTGAGACAAGAATTTTTAACTCGTGTGATTGGCAGCCCTCAGACTCGCCTCGGAGCGCCAACTTCACATTCGTGAAAATTCCGTCTCACTCGTATCGAAATATATACTATTTTGCTAGTGATGTTACGTTCAACGACTGGCCGAACTGTGCCTTTTTCATTCACAAGTAAACGAAAAGGCACTTTTCGACACGAGGTGAACGTAGCAGCAGTGCCAAATAGTACATTACATGCCCGAGCCTTGGAAAACAGATCACCGTCCCCCACGTGCACGTGGGAGAGGGTGATATGTTTTCCATGGCGAGGTGTGTATATTAATTTTCAGGTCCCGTGACACGAAAAATAAATTCTTCTCCCAAGAAATTGATTCCTTGACAAGAGTATTTTCTTTCCCAGAGTAGAACAAAAGGATTTGTTCTCAAGTGGTTATATATTTCCCCAAAAACAAAAATCAGGTCCGCTCGCGCGCTTCGCGCACTGGCTCTTTGGGGTGTGACCGGTAGGGGTGGGTGGAATTGGGTGTGACCCATTACGGGTCGAACCAATAACTTCACGACCGACTCCCATTTGTCTGTTCATTAGAACAAAAAACGGAAATTTTTGAAATTTCCGTCTTGATAACTACAAAACGGCTGAGACGATTTTACTTGGCATCCGCATAAAATCGAATTGTATAAAGATGCATCGATTGCATGAGCAGGAATCAAATGCCATCATTTTTCTACGTGGAATTATTGAATTTTCCAAAAAAAAACGCTTTTTTTTCATCTGTCTCATAAAGTAGTTAAGTAATGCCTATTCTGGGTCAACGTTTTAGCGAAGACCTGGTCGTTGGGGCCCAGTAGGGGGGTCAAATGAAAGTGGGTGTTTGGGTGCTTGATTAATTCGCGGATCCGCGGTTTTAATTCGCGGGTCAATCAATTTAATTCGCGGTTTGATTAGCGGGTAACTTAATTTGATTCGCGGTTTGTTTCGATCAAATGGGGCTCTATTGACGACTTGTCAATCCACCTCCCACGAGGGAGTGGCTGAAAGGGTTGATTACTTCTCAGGTTGCGGTTTGATTCGCGGGTTTATCCACGGTGTTGGGCCAAAGAACCTGCCACGAGAGAACCGGATGGGTGAAAGAGTTAATTAATCCGCGGTTGATTGCGTAATTCGCGGTCAGATCTACGGGGTCGCGGTTTGATTCGCGGGTTAAGCAATTACTTTGCGGTTCTGGCGCAACGTTTTAGCGGAGACGGGGCCAAAGGGCCCTCGCAAGGGGCTGGGTAGATGGATGGGTCAATTAATCCGCGCTAATTAATTAATTATTGATTGATTTAATTATTAATTAATTAAGTAATTATCAATTTATTAGCAGGATCTGGCGCATCGGTCTAGTGGAGACACGACCACAGGGCGGCTGATTCGCGGGTCGCGGTTTTATTTCGCGGTTTAATTCGCGGGTTAAGGAATTTAATTGATGGTTTTCTCTGTCGAATGAGACTCTCTATCAATTACCTGGTCAATCCACTGCCATGAAGGGGTGAGTGAAAAGGTTGATTAGTTGGCGGCTCGCGGGTTGATTCGCGGGTTAATCAATTTATCCATGGTGTTGGGCCAAAGAACCCCCAAGAGAGGGCCGGGTGGGTGGAAGGGATAGTTAATCCACGGTTGATTACGTAATTCGCAGTGTCATCTGCGGAATCGCGGTTTAATTCGCGGGTTAATTAATTAATTTGCGGTTTTAGACTGCAAGGGTCTCTATCGATGATCTGATCAATCTATCCCGTGGGAGTGGGTGGGAGTAAGAGTGAATTAATTCACAGTTCACGGTATAATTAGCGTTTTTGATTGAACAGATTTATTTATGACCTATCAGATTCCCCCCCTCCCCCTCTTGAAGTGGTTCTAGATGTGTCACATCTGGTGACCACATGACGTTTTTCAAACATGCTCGAACTTGAGATTTTCGGTATCTTGGTGTTTACCTTCTTCATGGAAAACCGTGAGACGGGTTTTCGTGTTAACCTCTTTTAACAATCGAAACAATTATGAAATGTAAAATTTTGAAAACCCTCACCCGGCGCGACCTTGGGTCAGAGGTTGCCGGGGCTCGGTTAATAATTTGTTGAACTGTTGGGCACCAGTTGATTTACACAAACCAACAAAGAACGATCAAATGAAAATAATAGGTTCGATTGGAAGCACCTTGGAGTGATGATCGGCGAGAGGAGAGACAGCAGAAATAGTTTATTACTTACGAATGATGCGACAGCTCGGGAATCGACTCTCTGCAGTAATCTCCAACGGTTTATATTGTACTAATTGATCGAGGTCACTCAAATAATAACGATACAGAACATACAATGAAACAACATTTAATATTCAAATAAATGAAAATATAGCAGAGATTGCTAGACAACGGTAATTGAATAATGGTGCGTAATAGTAAAATATACAGCGTGACAACTCGTGGTAACGCGCAAGCGAGAGTGCCCTTCGACTTGTTGCTGCCCGTCGGGCTCTGGTCCGATCGATATTTTAGGCGCACGCGCCGTCTAATTTGCTTCGCTCTGGCACTCGAGTAGGCGCGTAGAAATGCGATTTAAATAAATTTCTTACGATAATCTAATGGTCTTAACTGATCGGTTTGCTTAAACTATTTTAATTAGGAGATTCCCGAGGTGTCAGATCGGACTCTACGCCGGGGAAATACTATCTTTTCACATTCTTCCCCTTCGAACCCTGGCGTATAGTAGCGAGATGACAACTGTCGCTCTTTTGATCGACCTGTTTTGGTAAAGAAAGATTATTTTGAAAATTCAACAAAGTGAAATTAATGTGAGCAATAAACGATCTCTGCTGAGTGAGGTAAAGAAATGTTTGATATGTTAATGAATTGCAATGATCGTTGATCAAATTAACGTAATAATAATAAAGAGGAATAGTAATGAAAACAATGTTGTTGATCGTTGGGCTCCTCGGCTGGATGTCGTTGCTCGGATGATCGAGGACATTCTACTTCTGGTATTTGGTTGAGTTGATAGCCGAGAAGATCGTCCCATCTGGAAGCTCAGGTCTTTCTTCTATTATACGATCGAGTTTCTCGTCTGCTTCAGGCGTGAAAAGTGCCTGGAAGGCGAGCTGACGTCTTTCTTCTGTCAATTTCATTGCTCTGGCTGCCAGTGGAATCTGAAGGTCTTTTACATCATGGAGAGCCTTCTCATAGACCAGAAATGCTCTTACGCGGTTCTCGTAGTCCTTGGGATAATCAAATTTGGTGATGCCTTTCCTTCTCAAGCTTGATCCTGCCGCTCCCATCATGTAGCGATTGTCCTCAGGGATCAAGTGCTCTGGCCAGGTGGCGTAGGTGAGTCGGAGATACTTTCCATGTTCCTTGTGGCGAATGTTGCACTCAGGACATTCTGGGCAGTATAGTTCTAGGGGTCGTGAGCACCCTGGGCATTTATCCAGTGCTTGTTCATGCTAAACTCTGTCTGGGAAAGGACAGTCTGCTTCATCAAATCTTTCTGCTCCACAAATCTTGCAGAACCCTGGACGGAATGGGATGTTGCAGTCCTTGAATTGGTGAGCGGCTGATCTGCAATTGACGCATCCACGATGGTACTGCTTCTGGCACTGGGTGACGTATGTTTGGGTACCCACATTAACGCTCTGCGGTTTGTCCTTCAGCATTTCCTGCAGTAATCCTTTTGCCCGTTTTGTGATCAAATCCTTGAGCAATGGTAGGCTGATGATTCTCGCATCAACCATGTATAAAGGCTGCTGTTTGCCTGGGGCTTTGATCAAGTTCGATACTCCCAGCTCTTGGAGGGTTTCGGCGAAGGAAGGCATTCCTTTAATTGGAGCTGGTTTAATAGTGATCGATGGAGCCAGCTGTGAGTCTGGATCGTTGACTTTAGCCAATACTACGCCAGTTACTTTATCTGTCTTCACTGCATGTTTGAGATTAGCAAGGCGTTGTCTTCGACCATTTTCTTGTTCGATCTCTTTTGCTGTGTTTCGGTCGGGTGGACTGTAAGTCTGGATATTTCAAGTTCCTTATCTCTGTGAGAAGCTGTTCGATTTCGGCTCCTTTTGAACTTGTTCCAGGAGTCGTTTCAGTCAGAGTCATTTCCGCTGACGTATATGAGTCAACAGAAACTTCACTCGAGGTCTCACCTGAGGTCTGGGAAGGGCTGGATGCTTCTGATGAAGAGTCAGGTTTGACTGGGGTCGTTGACTTTTCAATCAGGGGATCTTTCTCGGCAAGACTAGCTACGAGTAATTCACCAGTCTGTACCGAGTCAGTTGATTCCACTGGAAAAGTTGTCTTCTCTTCCTCTGATATGCAGAGCTCAGTGTTGTTTGATTGTACCTATACATCGATAATAAAACCCGCACCGCCTAGAGTCTTCACTAATGACTGATTACCTAAACGTACTCCCACTGAAGATGATCCATCTTCTTTTAATTTTATTGTTTGGAGATGTTTGACCCGATTATAGGCTTTTTCGCTCAAAAATGATCTCTCCGCGCCACTGTCGATTATTCCTCGGATTTTTTGTCCAAAAATCGTTATTTCAACAGGGATTTTCGCAGTTCGAACCGGTTCTTTGAGACCTTCACCTTTGCAATAGACTCTACGTTGTGCTAGTTTATATATTTCGTGTGCCGGCAAACCTAAGGGTCTCCAGTGCTCGTAAGTAGT